GATAGTATAATGGTAGAGTTGCATGCCTGGAAGAACTGAAATGCCATAATATAGCTTTCCGAATTACTCATTTTCCTAACCAGCCTTAATTGAGATGACATGAGAAGAATTCAGGTAAATCACAGTTAATGGGAAGTGGATTCCAGGATCCCATAGTTAATTTGAACATTACTGAAAATTCTGGGAATTGAAGTATGCTTTTTTGAGGGACCCCAAGTTGAAGTAGAATGTTTAAGGAATTGCAAAACCCCTGGAACATTCCTGAATGTGGATTTTGCCTGCAGTTGTGAATCTGGAAATGCATTCCAGTGAAGTCACTGGGATTTAATCTGAAAAAAAATATATCAAATCTCATTGTGGCTCTTGTCCCAACTGTAAAATGTAATTAACAGGATTTACATCCTGTTTTGTTTCCCTTCAGCCCTCAGATAGATTACAGACTATCATGAAAACACGATCAATTTGACAATAGATAACTTTTTAAAGATTATTCTAATTATCTTGCCATGGTGGCACAGTGATTAGAGTGCAGTACTGCAGCTTACTTCTGCTGATTGCCTGCAATTTGGCAGTTCAAATCTCACCAGCCTTAAGGTTGACTCAGCTTCCATCCTTCTGAGGTCGGTAAAATGAGGACCCAAATTGTTGGGGCCAATACGCTGACTCTGTAAACTGCTTAGAGAGGGCTGTAAAGCACTGTAAAGCGGTATATAAGTCTAAGAGCCTTATAGCTAAGTGTGGGGTGCTCACATTGCAGCACTTGTCAAAAGGGCCCAGCAGAGATTATACTACCTGAGACTTCTCAGAAAACAACAACTGAATGAAAATTGCTGGTGACCTTCTACCACTGCACCATAGAGTGCATTTTAACTTACTGCACCTCTGTATGGTTTGCCAATTGCACAGTGCAGATAGGAAAGCACTCCAGAGGGTTAACGTCATTGCCCAGAAGATCATTGGTTGCCCTCTCCCCTCTTTGGAAGAGCTTTATAGCTCCCGCTGCCTTAAGAAAGTTCAAAACATTCTCAAAGATCCATCTCATCCTAGGAACCCTTTTTTTGAACTATTACCATCTGGCAGACAGTACAGAATAATAAAAACAAGGACAAATAGGCTGAAAAACAGCTTCTATCCCAGGGCAGTAGCTCTTTTGAATTCTGCTGTATAGTGCAATGTTGGTGCAGTGTCAGGGGTTTCGGTTTAATGTGAAGGATGTGTGTCTGTGTTTATTTTCATGGTTATGATGTGCACTGAAGATGGTGTTTGATTTCGTTGTATGAGGTGCAATGACAATAAACTAAACTATAAACAATTTTATACGCACATGCATATAATTTACTAAAAAGCACTGATGCCATACAACCCACCAGGGCAACTCTTCCTAACAGGCTATTTACGTGCATAGCACTTGTTTGGCTGATGTGCCTGCATTACACATGCTAAATTCTGAATGTGGCCCCCAGCCCCAAACAGCTGTTTAAAGAAAGGCTAAGGAGAGGAAAGATTAAGTTTTCTCCAAAAAATATGGAATTCTGCCCCATGACATTATTTTGATCGTTCCCACAGTATAAAGATGGGTGTCTGTTGTGATAATGGTTACTAATTTTACGATACGGGTGATGGATGGAATGGTGATGATTTTATAGAAGCTACTTTTATTTCTGCACCTACAAATGTAAAGTGTGAGAAACCTGCTTCAGGGTGATGCATTCTGGAGGTGTCCAAAGTTACCAGAAAGGAAGCGGAAACGCTGATTGGTCTGTGAGAGACTCTAGACATAGAATCTAGACATGGAATCAAAATCATGTCAAGTATTAGTACCACTTTATAAAATCTTAGTAAGACCACACCTGGAATGCTGCAACCAATATTGGTCACCACCAGTGGTGGGATTAAGAAATTTTTACTATCCGTTCTGTGGGCGTGGCTTGGTGGGTGTGGTTTGGTGGGCGTGGCTTGGTGGCCATGGCAGGGGAAGGATACTGCAAAATCCCATTTCCTCCCCACCCCACTAACCTGCTTTCCAGCTCTGTTCTCCTGTGCAGGGCAACAAAAGAAGACCCAGCCGATCAGCTGGGACTGGGGAGACACAGAATAGATGGGAGTGGGACCAGTCAGAGGTGGCATTTGCCAGTTCTCTGAACTACTCAACATTTCCACTACCAGGGTTTCCGGTTTGTCGGCTTCGCGAGCGGTAGGGATTCGCGAAGCTGCGCAATCCCTGCCGCGCTAGCCGTTTTGGGGCTCCGATCCGGATGGGTGCGGAGCAAGGCTGCCCTGCAGGGGTAGCTGAAGGTAAGGGGGATCCGGAGGAAGGGTCTGGGGGTGTTGCAGACCCCCTCCCTGGCCGGCAGAACCCCCTTTTACCAGGACGGTGCAGCGGTGGTCCGTAATGGCCGCCACAAAGTTGGCAGCCGGGCAAGTATGCGCAGGAGGAAGAAGGGAAAGTTATTAAAAGTGAAAGTTATTCTTGGTCGACCCAGGGCTTTGAGATTCATCTAATTTAATTCCTGGAAAAGATGGTTTTTTGATGATTTTTTCCACAAGAGAAAAAAAGCGGCAATTTTTGAGGTGCTGAAAGGAAAGTTTACTCTCCCTCCCGACGGAATTAAGCCGGAAGGGAGAGGACAAAGAAAATATATAAATCTGGATCTTGTTGGAGGAGATGCCTTAAAGATTTGAGGACAGAAATATAATTTTAAAAAGGCTTTAAAATACACATTTGGACTCTCTTTTTTTTTTGTTTGATACCACCCCTGGAAGAGGAAGGGGAAATTTGGCTTGCTTGGATTTATTGAGGATTGTGGACTTTGGGATTGTTTTACCTTTCTCTCTGAATATCTGGTTGGTGTAAGAAGAGGAATAAAGAAAAGAAAAGATTTATTTATAATGGCTTTTCCTTCTGAGGACCTGAGGGATGAATATGAGCAAACAAAAGCAGCCTGTAAAGATGGTATGGAAAAAGCTTTTCTATTTCTAGAAATGGCGCTGGTTAATTACCAACAGACAATGAAACAGATGGAAACAGAAGAACAACAACAAGAAAAAGACGAAGACGCCATCTTTATTGAATTTCAAAACTTATCTAAGAAAGAAGGAAGGAAGAGAGCAAGGAAAATGAAGGACTTAAGATCTAAAAAAACATTTGAGAAAGAGGAAAATATGATGCAAAGTAAATATAATGATAGCAAACAAGAGAAAAAGGGAACACAACAGAGAAGGGATCCCAGCAAGGCAGAGGTTAGAAGAAGAAGGGGGGGTAGGAAGATCTGGTGGGGGAAGAAAGAAAGGGGAAAGGCGGAGAAAAGCCTCAAAGTTTTAAAATTGGATGGGAGAAGAGGAATTTTTTTTAGGGACAAAGGATGAAATATAAACTTCTGTAAGAAAGATTCTGCTAGGTACAGAAGATGGTATTGTAATATTTATAGTTGAAATAGTAAATTAGAATGGTTTAAGATTTAATAAGAAATTAAAATGTTGAAGTTTTTAATAATGATTGATTTTTAAAATGTAATAAAATATTGAAGGAAAGGAGGATACAATGTATTTAAAAAATTTTGGTGGATAGAATGTACCAAGCAGAACCGAATTGGGTATTTGTTATGTTGAATGTTAATTTTACTAATTAAGGGGGAGGATAGAAAGGCATCATACTCTGATTAGTGATTTCAGGAGAAATTCTTTTTATTATAAGAAGAGATAGAGGGATAATGAATGGGCAAAAGATATAAATATAATGATTTAATTAAGATGGATTAAATAAGATAGAATTGTGAAGAGTGAAATGCGCTGCCCATACAAAGAGAGGTAACTGGGGCCAAGGTACTTTACTAAAAGATTTTTTATATGTTTGTTTGTGTTTGTTTGTGTTTTATGAGAATATTGGGGAAATTTTTGTGGAAATACAGGAAAGATTTAAATATGTAATGATTTGTTTGTTGTTGAAATTAATAAAACTTGTTTAAAAAAAAAAAAAAAACATTTCCACTACCAGTTCTCCAGAACTGGTCAGAACCTGCTGAATACCACCTATGGTCACACTATAAAAAAGACGTTGAGACTTTGAAAAAAGTTCAGAGAAGAGCAACTAAGATGATCAAAGGCCTGAAGACTAAAATATAAGAAGAACAGCTGCAGGATTTGGGTTTGGCTAGTCTAAAGAAAAGAAGAATTAAGGGTGACATGATTGCAATATTCCAATATTTGAGGGGCTGTCCCAAAGAAGAGGAGGTGAAATTGTTCTCCAAAGCACCAGAGGGCAGGACAAGAAACAATGGTTGGAAACTAATCAAAGAGAGAAGCAACCTGGAATTAAGGAGAAATTTCCTCAATAGTGAGAACAATTAACTAGTGGAATAGCTTGTTTTCAGAAGTTATAGGTGCTCCATCACTGGAGGTTTTTAAGAAGAGACTGGACAGCCACTTGTCTGAAATGGTATAGTTTCCTGCTTGAGCCAGGGGCTGGACTAGAAGACCTCCAAGGTCCCCTCCAGCTCTATTTTATTCTGTATTTATATTATTATACTATATATTATAGTGTATAATTATATAACGAACAGACGTTCATTAGCTCGAGTTTATTAACTGAACTCAGACTTCACGTTTTGGATCAGAACAGGAGAAAAAGGTGTGGTCATGGCATACCAAATCGTCTCCCCACCGTCCTCCCCCCCGCCCCCCAAAGGCAAGCAAACCACCCCAGGTGATGTGAAAGCACCCCCGACCAATCGCAGAAGTTGCAAACCGAAACGGCTTGTGAACTACCAGGGAGCAAAAGAGGCTTCCCGACCTCGTGGTATTCCACCCACCCCACCCCACCCCGCCGGTTCCGCCATGAAGCGGGGCAAGCAGAGCGCCGTACCCTCCGACCAGTTTTTCTCTCGCCTCTCGACGCTTGAAATCCGAGCCGGGGCAGGTCTGATCTAGTCCCGCGCGGCACGTGATCCCCGACGCGGAGCTTACGGGACGCCCAGCTCCGGCGAGCACCTGGAAGGCGGTCACCAAGCTCCTCCCTTCCAGCCTCCTGGAAAGCGATCCCCGACGGGGCAGCCACCGGAGCGGAGGAAGAGGGAGGCTTCGGGCGTTAGGTGCCAGGGAGAAGCCGTCGTTCTCCGCTCGGATCCGAAGATCCTGGTCTCCCGAACGGGCCCGAAAACTCAGGCGCGACTCAGCATGGCTTTTGGAAAGAGTCAGAAGGATGCCTTCGGCACCCCCGTGGGCCACCTGATCGGTAAGCGGCGCCTGCCGGGCAGCTCCTTCCCTTCAGGTTCAGATGAACAGAGTTGGGAAGGGACCGTGTGGGTCATCTAGTCCAACCCGCCCAGCCGTCTTTCTGAATTTAGCGGCTGGATCGCGAACTTCTGATATCGTGATATATTGGATTCCTGGCATTTTCCAATTACAATTGGACCAGAAGTGAGGCTCTTGAATTTGTGTATTCAAGGGGTTGTGGGGAAGAAGCGCTTAACCCGTAACCTGGATTCCGGTGGGGGGGGGGGGGAAGAGTGGCGCTCCTTTCTGGTAACTCGCGGTAACATCTCCAAACTATTATCCTCTGCCCGCTGAAAGTGAGATTGTTGTGCGTTGTTAATAGAAACGCTAATGGCAACCTATTGTTATAGGGTACTTGAACTTTTGATGAGCTTGAAAAACTGAACAAAGGAAAAGAGATTTTGATATTCATATATTACATTTTTATAAGATTACTTACAGGAAACTTTAGTCAGCAACTGAGGATCAGAACTCTCCAAAGTGCCTCATATATGCTTTGGAACTTTGCAAATTTTAACAACAGGTGTATCCAATAGAGGCAACCCATAGCACTCCTCTTCCAGGGTGAAAATGTGAATATAGGCATTGATGCAGTGCTGGTGCTCCTGCATTTTACAGGGCAATGGGCAAACTTCCAGAAGATGTTGATTAAGATTGTTGATGATTAAGGTTCAATAGCATGTGAGGGCTTCAGGCTTATTTTATCTTGGATGTACCCTTGTTGTTGCCCTACGGCTCGTTAAACTGCATTGGAAAATATATTTGAGCCAGAACACCATGTTGAAACTCCACCAAATGCAATCTGATACTATTAGCTGAATTTCCTACATTTAAAAGTTGGCTGAGAGAGATGTGTGTGTTTTTTTTCAAGTAGTCTGGTTTATGACTACAGTTGAGCACCCAATTTTTGTTGCTGAGACAGATGTTAAGTGAATTTTGCTCCGTTTTATGATATTTTTGCCACAGCTGTTAAATCACTGCAAGTAAGTTCGTGACAAGTTGTTAAGTGAATCTGGCTTCCCCATTGACTTTGCTTGTCAGAAGGTCACAAAAGGGGATCACATGATCCCGGGACATTGCGACCATCATAAATATGAATCAGTTCCCCAGCATCTGAATTTTGACCACGGGGATGCTGCAGTGGTCACAAGTGTGAAAAAAGGTCATAAGTCACTTTTTTCAGTATCATTGTAACTTTGAATAGTGAACTTTGAAAAGTGAATTGTGAATGAACTGTTTTAGGTTGAGTAGTACCTGTATTAGATTTATATTTGGCCATTCTCCCATTTTGGAAAAGCTGACTCCTACCTAAGTCTAAATATCCTACTTTAATCGTCTAAAACAGGGGTCTCCAACCTTGGCAACTTTAAGACTCGTGGACTTCAACTCCCAGAATTCTGGGAATTGAAGTCCACGAGTCTTAAAGTTGCCAAGGTTGGAGACCCTTGGTCTAAAATAACAGTTTGTTCCTAATTGTCTAGCTTTTTAACTGTGAGCCCAATCTTTCCCTTAACAGCGAAAGCTACTTTTGGAGCCTTGCAGACAGAAGAATGGGGTCAGTTTATGCATATTTGTGACCTTATCAACACCACTGAGGAAGGGTAAGTTGCTTGATGTTCTTTGAAAAGATAACTATTTGGTCTTTAGCTATGAGGTCAGAGAAGTGCTTCTTCGTAAATCTGTATCATTTTGCTCTTCAGCAGTTGGGAAAACTTAATGTTTGGGGGAAAGCATGTCCAGAGTGGTGGATACAAATGTTTTACTTTGTTTGTTTATTTTGGGCTTTTGTAGAATTTGAGGCTAAGAAGTATAATATGGTAGCCCTTCAGGTTTGAAAAAGACACTCTGTTTTGCAAATGTCTATGGAGATTCTAAGTCATGGTTGTCCCAAAGGTGCTTTTTTCAAGAAGCAGCTGGACTTTCTGGTTTTTCTTTGAAGACGTTTTGCTTCTCATCCAAGAAGCTTCTTCAGCTCTTCCCCAGCATCCAGTCAGAGCTGAAGAAGGTTCTTGGATGAGAGGCATAACGTCTTCAAAGAAAAACCAGAAAGTCCAGTTGCCTCTTGAAAAAAGCACCTTTGGGACACTGTTTTGCAGTTCATCTGTATACATGGAGACGGCTCTGCAGTTCCATTCTAGAAGCACGGAATCTAGTGCAGTGGGAGCACGGGAAAGTTCATTGTTGTGGTAACTGTGGGTGATATTCTGTGACGCCGCTCACAATTTTCTATCAGTTTTTGGTGGCACGTGTCTTCAAAGCTGGTGAAGGCTTCATAGCAGAAAGCTTGCCAACGGGTTCTGAAAGCAGCTGCAGCTTCTTGTTCTCTTAGCTGGAAGTCACAATGGTGTGAGGTTTCTTTCACCGTTTCTTTGTATGATTAACCTCGAGATCTCTTCCCAAACTTGGAGATCTCTTCCCAGACTCCAGTACACAGTGGAGAAACTGGAGAGGCATACAGCAATCATCTGTTCCGATGACGTGTCCCACTATCACATCTGGGCTCTGATAATTAGAGACTCAATGGTGGTGGACTCTGCATATCCAAGATCTCCAGGTTGGAAACATGGTCTTGCCAACAAATATCAAAGATAGAGCAGAGAGCACACATGTGAAATTTCTCCAGTTGTTTGATGTGTCTTCAGTACAGAGTCCTGGATTCACATCCATATAGGAGGGAAGATATAACCTGGACTCTGCAGACTTCTGGCTTTGTGGAGATATGGGTGTTGTGTTGATTGAGCACTCTAGTACACTGCCATCCCAGCACTGACTGGCCTTGCTGATCCCTAAGTCAGTTTTGTATCCATAGAGCCATCACTCGAGATGATGCTTCCCAGGTATTTGAAGCTGTTTACCTTTTTCAACTGGGTATCATCAAGAGTGATTTTTAGTTCTTTGGACTTGGGACTTGGCCCCTGCTGGCAAAATACTTCACTTTTGTTCAGGCTGATAGGCAAGGCCAAAGGCATAGCAGCTTCTAGAATTTTATTTATTTATTTATTTATTAAATATTACTAATTATTTAAAAAATTTAAAGAAGTAAAATAAATATGCTAAACCTTTCAGGAGGTTTCCCCACCACCACCCAAACCAAAAGTTCCTGAAAACAAAGCATTCACAATTGGGAAGAGATTTGCTGGAGTAGGAAAAAAAATCCACCAGTCAGACCATGTGAAATTCGTGGTTTATCCGTTTCAGCTTTATATTAAGTTGTGGGGACTTCTGCATCTGTTGCAATGTATTCTAAGAGTTGCCAACTTTCACCTAGTCTCTGTAGCTTGCCTTTGAATATTACTACACTCTTTTGAATACTAGTAAAAATGGGGCTTGATTGGCATAAGACCCAAGCAAAACTTTCTTTCCATGCTGTGAAGTCTTCACCTTGACATTTAAAAAAAACATAATCACAGACAGCAAGAAAGGACTAGATTGAAAATCGGTATCGTTACGTTGTTTTAATGTTGTGATGACTGTTGCCTCATGAGTTTGGATTTGAATGTGAATTGCCCCAGTGTCTCTGGAAAAGAATATAAATGCTAATAAATAAATAGATAATAAACAAGACAAATTGAATGTATTAGGCAATCCTAGCTTCCTGGTAGATGTATTTGCATCCTACCTCCTGTGAAAACTCATATTTGTTGTGCACATGTTCATTAAATGTGTCTGTAAATTAATGACAGTGTATACTTTGAAAACATGGTAAGTAAAGCAGTTCTGTAATAGATTTATAGTGAGGTGTCCATCTGCTGGCTGGGGAATTCTGGGAGTTGAAACCCACAAGTCTTAAAATTGCCAAGATTGGACATCCCTGATTAATAGGATTGTGCAAGGTCGGCTAATGCCTTCACTGGTTTTTAGCATTAGCATAGATGTGAGCAATAGGAACTATTCTTACTCCTGAATAAAAAGGTCAAGATCAAGGTTTCCCCTGTCCGGTCATGTCTGACTCTAGGGCAGGGGTCCCCAACCGCCGGTCCGTGGACCGGTACCGGTCCGCGGAACAAGTCTTACCGGGCCGCTGGTTGCTGGGCGCCGCCATCTTTTTTTGATAAAAAAGTGCTTCCGGTGAGCTTTTCTGGGTAGAAAGCCATTTCTACCCGAAAAAGCTCACCGGAAGCGCTGGCGCCGCCATCTTTTTTGATGAAAAAGTGCTTCAGGTGAGGTCACCGGAAGCACTTTTTCATCAAAAAAAGATGGCAGCGCCCAGTTGATGCCGGTACCGGGCCGCGGCGCCCAGCTGATGCCGGTACCGGGCCGCGGCATAAAAAAGGTTGGGGATCACTGCTCTAGGGGATAGTGTTCATCTCTGTTTCTTAGCCGAGGAAGCCAGCATTGTCCAAAAACATTTCCATGGTCATGTGGTCAGCTTGACTGTATGTCAATATAGTGCAGTGGCTCATGTGGTTACGATGCTGGGTCCACAATTTGCAGCAGCAAATTGTTCAAAGCCTGAGTGCTGCTGTGTGTCAGGATGCTCCAACTCCTGCTCTCCTAGCAGTTCGGAAGCGTGCAAACAAGAGTAGAATAGAATAACAGAGTTGGAAGGGACCTTGTAGGGCATTTAGTTCAACTCCCTGCTCAAGCAGGAGACCCTACCATTTCTGACAGATGGCTGTCCAGTCTCTTCTTGAAAGCTTCTAGTGATGAAGCACCCACAACTTCCAAGGGCAAGCTGTTCCATTGGTTGATTGCCCTTAGTGTCAGAAAATTTCTCCTTGTTTCTAGGTTGAATCTCTCCTTGATCAGCTTCCATCCATTATTCCTTGTCTGGCCTTCAGGTGCCTTGGAAAATAGCTTGACCCCTTCCTCTCTGTGGCAGCCCCTCAGATATTGGAAGACTGTTATCATGTCTCCCCTGGTCCTTCTCTTCACTAGACTAGCCATGCCTAGTTCCTACAACTGTTCTTTATATGTTTTAGCCTCCAGTCCCCTAATCATCTTTGTTGCTCTTCTCTGCACTCTTTCTAGAGTTTCAACATCTTTTTAGTGTGGTGACCAAAACTGGATGCAGTATTCTAGGTGTGATGTTTACTAAGGCTTTATAGAGTGGTAATAGCACCTTACATAATCTTGATTGAATTCCTCTGTTAATACAATTTAGGATTGCATTGGCTTTTTTGGCTGCTGCCACACACTGCTGGCTCATATTTAATTGATTGACCACTAAGACTCCAAGATCCCTCTCTCAGTTACTGCAATTAAGCCAGGTTTCACCCAGTCTATATGTGTACTTTTGGTTTTTCTTGCCTAGGTGTAAGACTTTACTTTTCTCTACATTGAATTTCATTTTGTTAGATAGGGCCCAGTGTTCAAGTCTGTCAAGATCTATCTCAATCTTGAGCCTATCATCTAGGGCCATGATGGCAAACCTATGGCACGTGTGCTGCAGGCAAACTTACCTCACTGCGCATATGTGCGCCTCGCAGCTGATTTTCGGCCGGTTTGAGGCCTTTTTCAGCCTCCCAAAGGCTTCTTCAGGCTTCTACAAGCTTTGTAGGCTGAAATCTAGCCCTGTTTCATCACTTCCTGTTTTTCCAAAAATACTGGAAGTGACTAAACGGGGCTAGATTTCAGCCTACAAAGCTTGTAGAAGCCTTCCTCAAGCCTTTGGGAGGCCAAAAAAGGCCTCAAACTGGCCGAAAATCACCTGTGAGGCACAGTGCAGGTAAGGGGGTGGGGTGGGGATTGCATGTGCATGTGTAGGAGCATGGGGGGGGCGTGCATTGCCTTCTGGGCTCTGGCACACGAGCACAAGCGTGCAAGCACACGCACAATTTTTGGCACAGAAGCCCAAAAAGGTTAGCCACCACTGATCTAGGGTGTTGGCTATTTCTCCCAGCTTAATATCATCTACAAATTTGATGAGTTCCCCTTCTATTCATCTAAGTTGTTTATGAAGATATTGAAGAGTACTGGGCTTAAGATGGAACCTTGTGGTACCCCACTGCTTCCTTCCTTCCATGTAGACATAGTACCATTAAGGACTACTAGTTGAGGACAGTTTGTCATCCGTTTGGTAGTGATGCTATCTATCCCACTTTTTTCTAGCTTACCAAGAAGTAGGTTGGGTCTATAAATAAATAAATAGATACCACTTTGGTAGGCTCATTAACAGGGAGATGAAAGGAGCCCCCAACTGCAAACCAGCAAAAATGTTGCAATTAACAATTACATGACCATGAGATAATAAAAGTGAGCCAGTTGCAAAGCACCTGAATTGCACTTATGTGATTGTGGGGATGGGTAACAGTTGTAAGTTCAAATTTAGGTTATAACTATCTTTTACTGAAGATGTTGCTAATTCAAATCATCTTTGAGTGAAATGTCATAAGTCAGGGACCATCTTTAAGTACATTGGTGTCCTGCCTTCAAAAAAAATGCAGAAAAGTCCATTATCCACAGAGCAATCCCAAGGTGTATCTTTGCCTGAGAAAGAGTGTTTGCTCCGCAAACAAAGTGTGACTAATTAACACCTTTGCCAATGCTCTGTCCATAAACTGTATTTCCAGGAAATCTCTGAAGCAGCAATTACAGGGCATCTAGCAGAAAACATCCTATTTGAGGTGTGTAACTGCAAAGAAGCAGCATGCTGTTTTGAGTATGTAATTCTATATCCTAAGGTTTGTTGTTTAAGAACAAATTGACTTTTTTCATTGTACCATGACTTTTTAATGGGTTTTATGGGTGGGTCAGATTCTGTATTCAAAAGAGTTCTACTAATATTCAAAACGCTCCCAAGTATGCACCCTATTTGCTAACTACTGCTATGTAGGGTAGCATACCCTGATTTGCTTGAAGTGACAGTACCTCTTCTGCCAACATGCAAAAAAAGTTAAACCTACTTCACGTAACACAAGGATAGAGGCAAATAATGCAACTTGTCCTCACATCAGATGCCATATTGTCATTAAACCACAGAATTGCACTATTTGCATGATAATACGACACCACCGATCTGTTATGATGACTTGTAATGGAGATGGCTGCTTCAATGGGAAACTGTCATGAAAGTGCTGAACTACAGTTACTAACATTCCTTATTATTAGCCATGATTGTTGAAGACTACTGGGAACGGTAGTTCAGCAACTCTGGAAGTCCAGAAATGTGTAGACATAGTTCAATGTATGAAGTAAGTAGTATACTCAACATAGAATCTTGGATGAATTTTTGGGGGCTACATATCTGGGCCTTTGCATAATTTTTGAATGTAACTCTTCCCTTTTCGTGCACAGATAGATACTGTGGTATCTCTTGGCTGCTTCCTCTTAGGAGAGAAAAAGGTTTAAGCTTAGTCTTCTCTAACTAGATGAGTTGGGCTATATGGGTAGTCCTTGCTTAACAACCAGTTTCTTTAAGAAGGTTTGCAGTTATGTCCACAGAATGGGGACCTCATGACCCATAAAAGACCCCTGGCCGCCGTAAATAGTCACACCATGTGCTCCCTGCGTTCATGTGGCTGCATGTTGGGCAAGTCAGCTTTGCAGCCCATTGTGGCATTCCTCAGCCATATGACCACAATTCCAGCTAAAAATGCCCATTCAAATGAATGGGTTTATTAATAACTGCCGCGTTCACTTAACAATTACTATATTTACTTAAGAACTACCATTTAAAAAGGCCTGGAAATTACTTTGTCATGTGGAAGCCTTAACTTACGACTGTAACAATTTATGATGGTAATTCTAGGCTCAGTTACAATTATAATTCAGGGACTACCTGTAGTTCCTATATCTTTAACCAGCATAGCCAAAGAGTGTTACATAGGGATAACCACCTACCTGAAAATGGTATAGGGCTGTGATGGCAAACCTATGGCATGCGTGCCACAGGTGCCATGCAGAGCCATTTGTGTGGCACGCGAGCCCCAGGCAAACTTACCTCACTGCACATATGCGTACCTCCCAGCTGATTATCGGCCTGTTTGAGGCCTTTTTCGGCCTCGCAGAGGCTTGAGGGAAGCCTCTGAAGCCTTTGTAGGCCAAAAACCATTTTGTCACTTCCTGTATTTCCAGAAATATTGGAAGTGATGAAATGGGCCCATTTTTCGGCCTACAACGGCTGCAGAGGCTTCACTCGAGCATCTGGGAGGCCGAAAAAGACCTCAAATGGGCTGAAAATCAGCTGGGAGGCGCAGTGCAGGTAAGGGGGTGGCGGGGGGAATCGCACACGCATGCGCAGGGGGCGGGGGGCCTCATTCATTGCCTTCTGGATGCTGGCACACAAGCGCGCGCGTAAGCGCGCACATAATTTTTGGCACAGGAGCCCAAAATGTTTAGCCACCACTGGTATAGGATGTCCTGCTTTTGCAGGGGGTTGGACTAGGAGACCTCCAAGGCCCCTTCCAGCTCTATTCTGATTGACTGATTGACAGTTCCATATATTTAGAAGACAGCAGTCTGTGAGAATCATTGCTTCAAAGAGCAATTTTTGCTCAAAGCAGAATTGGAATAAAATAAGCTTTATCTCTTACTGTTTGCTCCTAATACATTATATTGCTCCTGATATAGGCTGATCTTTATATGTACTTGGAAGAGTTACTTATTGCTAATCCTGGGTTTATTTTTCTGGGATGGGCTTTGTGTATTTGGTAGGGATTAGTCTCTGGACATGAGCCATGGTCTTTTATTTGTACTTTAGTAGTAGAATCTGTTCTTCCTTTTAAAAGTGTTTCCTGGATGGCTTACAAAAATAATAATAATAAAGTAAACCAGCAACAAACCAATTCAACAAAAAACAGCAACTCATAGTTACAGCAGTATAACCCAGCCAAAGGCAATAGCACTGTTCCTGCTGTCCGTGCTGCTGCCTGTGGACTTATCCTCAAAAACAATTTCCAACCACGCAAAGGAAATTGGCACATTGTTTTGAAAGGTATCTCACTTTAATTTGATTTATTAAATTCATTATAGTTGCCCACTCTGTTAGATTCTGGGTGGCTTACAAAACCCAGAAAGAATAGATTAAAAACATTGAAAACATACACAGGAGGCAGCCCATATCAAAATGCTAGGCCATGTAGATATGATGGGCCCTCCACAAATACATCAACTAAACATGTTAACCTCAGATAATTGCTTGTTTTTAAAGTCCTTTCAGAACCCCAAGAAAGTGGGTGCCATTCATATCTCTGAGAGATGCTTTGCAGAGGGCAAGCATTGTGGCCAGAGAAGGCATACTTCCTCTATCCTATAAAGTGACAATCTTTTAATAGAGGGGACCTACAGTCAGAGGTGGGATTCAGCAGGCTCTGACCAGTTCTGGAGAACCGGTAGTGGAAATTTTGAGTGGTTCAGAGAACCGGCAAATATCACCTCTGCCTGCCCCCCACCTCATCTATTCTCTACCTCCTGAGTCCCAGCTGATTGGCTGGATCTTCTTTTGTTGCCCTGCACAGGAGAACGGAGCTGGAAAGCAGGTTAGTGGAGTGGGGAGGGAATGGAGATTTTACAGTATCTTTCCCTGCCACGGCCACCAAGCCACGCCACACCACACCACGCCCATAGAACTGGTAGTAAAAAAATTTGAATCCCACCGCTGCCTACAGTGTACCCATTCTATGTAAATGTATCAGGCAGCATCATGAAGATATAGACAGTTGCTCGGATAACCAGGCTGTACTCCACAAAAGGCTTCATGTTACTCCTCCAAAACAGCCTTTACATCTTCAGCTTGGGTAGATATACAGTATTTCCACTCCTCCTTTCCTAACTATACTGATACTAACTAAGATTGATGGGAGCTGCCAGTCAGAATACCTGGAGGGAACAAATTTGAGGGAGAATACCCTAGAGGTGAGGTGAATTTTTGTTTGCTTGTTTGTTCAACTTTCAGAGAGCAGAAGAAATGAAAAAGGAGCAACATTTTGGGTTTTTGTTCCCCCGGAAACTTGCTGACTTTCTTTGGGTCTGCATAACCACTGACATCTGTGGGCTTAACCTAAAGAGAAGCCATGTTCACAGGGGGGAAATAGGATTGTATGAGTTTTGCTTTGGCTTATGTGTCTCTCAGTGAGAATAGCCAGTGTTCAGCAGCCCTCCAGCCCATGTCCAGTTCAGCATTTGAAACTATGTCAGTAAGGACTGGTCATTTAACAGTTGGTTGGTATCATTATCCTTAAATCTAGATGAGCAACAAAGATAATCACAGTTAAGCTTAGAGTCATCATTATACCTTCTAAAAATGCAACATAGTGCCTCAAATGAACTAGTATGGCGTAATGGATAAAATATTGGATTAAGGGTAGGGACACCCAGGTCTGAGTTTCTAACCTCAGTCATGGAAGCTGTTTCTCAGCACATTCTACCTCATAGGATTGTTGTTTTATGCTTTATTGTTGTTGGAAAATAGGACTGGTTTGTGTGTGTGTGTTTGTAGGTGTGTGTGTGTGTGTTTGTAGGTTACAGTAAAGGGTAAGAATATGCAGATAGAAGCAGGCTGGATTTTCAGTAATTAAAGACTTTGGAGGCTAATAGAAGCGGGAGTAGATTCAGAATCTATCTTGGTGTCACTCTGAATATATTGCTTTGTTTTTATTCTCTCTCATATACATGATGATTATTTTCCATGCCTCTGGGAAAGATATCTTACTTACAACACCGACTATTAGGCATGCTACAACATTTGGGGCTGATTGGAGGTGGAATTCAACATTTTGATAAGCCTATAGGATGCCTACTTCTACTGTAGACAGAAACAGTACACTGAGTTTGGGAAATCATTTCAGCAAAGCTTGTGTGGGTGTCCCCAATGGCTGGTTATCCAACCTTCGGTAATAGGGATGCTATGCAGTCAACTATAAATTAACATTTACCAAATATAAATCATCTTGGATATCAGATCATGCAGATGTTGGAAATTAACCATCTATTGTACAAACTTCTGTAATGGAATGAGAAATTTTATTTTTTGGCAGGACATAGTGTATGTCGGATGGGCATCTATGGCAATTTTATGACCTATGGACTTCAACTCCCAGAATTCCCTAGCCAGATTGGGAATTCTGGGAGTTGAAACCCATAAGTCATAAAGTTGCCGAGGCTGCCCATCTCTAGTGTATGTACTCTAAACACACAACTCATCTTTGTCACTGAAGTGGCTACCTTACTTTATTCCAATTTTGATTTAATTTTTCTCTTAGGGAGTTTTTTATTTCAGCAATCTTGATTCCCTATTTTCAGCTAACATTATAAGAGAAATAATATGTATGTAGAATTTTAATGATCAGTATGTTTTCTGGTTTTATTTCTTCTAACCACAGACCCAAGGAGGCAGTGAGAGCACTTAGGAAAAGGCTTTCCAAAAACTGTAATCATGTGGAGATTCATCTTACCTTGTCCGTAAGTACAACACGTTTGGTCCTCATAAAATATTTGCACAGCACAGGACAGAATTTGTTGCGAGTTTCCCAAATAAGTGTTTTGCTGGAATATTAGCACAGTTTTCTGAGGCATCAAAAGTCAGTTTCATGGAACAGAAATTGCCACTTTTGAATCAAATTTACAAAATATCATTTGGATCCCCTTTAGTTTGATAGGCAGAGAACTGCTCCTCCCATTAAGAGTAGCAGAATTGCTTTGTATATCTCACTTGCTTCTCAGACAAATGGTAAGGGAAGGAAAACTAAAGCAGAACACACTCTTACAAGTTTTAGGTTCTGGCACTGTAGCCTGGAAATTAATTTAGAACCCCCAGTTCTATTTACTTGTTAGTTTTACAGTCTGCTAGTTCTCCAAGAGCTCAAGACTGTTTCCGTTCCCTTCCTTTTTACCCTTGAAGATGAATAACTCAGCCTCAGAATAACTGAGAATTATTTATTCAGAGCTAACCAGGAATATTATGTGCTTAGGGTGGACTAGTAGCCATGCAACACTTAACCACTATAATAATCTCCTCCTCCTCCTCACTTCTCTTGAATAAATCTGGAAGTACTAAGCATCCAAAAATAAACAGAAATGTAAGCATTGTTCAGAGTTCTAGGTTGTTGTTTTTTAATATTCTAGCTTTATCCAACCCACTCGAAAGCAGAAAGCTTAGCAAATTAATCAGCATATAGCCTCATATTTTCTTTTTAAACTAAGTATTTGGTTAGCTTGGAACAAAAAGAATGACATCCTGTTAAAGGAATTGTTGCTTAACCACAGAACAGTTTCTCTGAGAGTTTTCCACTTTACAGCATGCTATAATATCTTTACATATCTAGTATCAAGCACTATGAGAATATAATTGAACCAAGTCCATTGAAGCATGTAGTTTTAACTACATAAAGGTGTGGTTGGCTCAGAATCAGTTCACACAGAAAAGAGATATTTATTTTGTAGTTTAAAAACTTCTTACAATATTTATCTGTAAAGTCAATATGAAAAATTAATGTGTGTTTGTTCCTGTATTTCTGTCTTTACTGAGCTTTAAATGAGGGAGACACTATTTGAATAACTGGATTACAACATAACTAAGATAAAGGATGCTGGGAGTTATAGCTTTAATAATAATTATTGGACAATAGTTCACCTTTGCTTTATTTGTAGACATCTACAATCTTTCATTTCAATGTTACAATGCTGGATGGAAGCTTTATATTTACAAAACTGTAGTCTGATTGTTATGTTAAAAATTTATTGAAGTTAAACCATGGTATTTTAGCAATAATAGTATTTGTATAATATGTTTGAAAGACTATGGCTTGTTCCACAAATCACAATTGCATTTCATCTATGATTTAGTGTGATACATGAACCAAGTCATAAGCCATTGAAATGAGTTTAAGATAAACATCATATACGGATCTCTGTCTTGTGCATTTAGCCACCACTCCAGTTTCCAGGATGTTGTAACAAGTAACATGCAATTTTAAAAAGTGGAGTTAAATGGCATGAGAGCCAGTTTAGTGCGGTGGTTTAGGCACTTGGCTAGAAACTGGAAGACGGTGAGTTCTGATTCAGCCTTAAGCCCAGCTGGGTGACCTTGGGCCACTCTCTCTCAACCCTTGAAAGTAAGCAAGGGCAAACCACTTATAAAAAAAAAACCTTCCCAAATAATAACAAGTGGGTGTGAGTTAGAAATACTTGAGCAAAAAAAATGAATTTCCTGTATAGTAAGTAGTCCAGTCTGATATTTTTGTGGGTGTTGTCCAACATTCCTGTGTAGGCTGTAATCTAGGCCAGTATGGTCAAACGGTGATAGCAGTTAGGGAGTTTGGGGCAATATAGGCTGGTCCATTGCTTGAACTTATGTACAGTAATTGTAATGGTAGATGGGTTCAAATCCCTACGCTTTTTTTTAAAGTCAGGCACATCACTAGTGGTACAAATGATTGATAATTCTTGTTCACAGGATTACCTGCCTCATTGGTTGTAATGTAAGACACAGCTTTTGGAATTTGAGGAATTTGCTTTTCACAATAATTATTACCACACTGTATGAGTGAAGTCCTACTGATTTAAATTTCCCCAAAGGTTTGATACCACCTAATGTTTGAATCCTTCCTTTCAGAAATTACAGAACCTATACTAATGGATATTTTCCCCAAATGAGTATGATAGCTTTCCATTCCTAACTTGCACCTGTCATCCTGATTAATTTGCAGACAGTTTTAGAATATGTGTAGACCACCATGATCTTGTAATCATGTATTAATTGTCTTCATATACATATACGCATATACATACATACAGTACATACATGCACATACTTACAGAGAGACAGAAAGAGAGATAGCAAGGATACGCAATTATATGCAGCCTCTACTGTAATTAATCATTATTTATCATTTGACAAATGTGAAAGACATCAGGGGGCCCTTGAGATTTCATATCCTATAAGAAAATAGAGGCAATTTTTGTATCTATTGGTATTTTGATTGGGGATGGCAGATTCCTTGAAATATTAAATGGAATGAATGAATAATCACACTCACCATTTTACCATTTCAGAATTCTTTCAGCGGAATCAGATGTGTAGGTGTGTGTTCTGTCTTGGGGATTTCTTGCAGAAATGATTTTTGGATTAGAAAAAACCCATACGTTTTTGTAAACTGGGAAAGAGCCAGTTTGATGTAGTGGTTAAGGCATAGGGCTTAGAGATCACCTTAGGCACAAAGCCACCTGCATAACTTTGGGCTAGCCCCTCTCTGTCTCTGCTGTAGGATCAGGCAAACACAAAATATTTCTGAAATCTTGCCAGAAAAAAAATGTCAGGACTTCTCCAAGCATTCACCAGGACTCATCTGGCTGCCTATCTATGGGCCTTTTTCTTGAAGAATTCCTATAAAGAGATATCATGAAAAATAAAATGCTGGTGCGTTCACAATAAAGGATAACGTAGGCAGAAACCTGACTATTGTGCCAAATTTCAGAGTTTGTGTGATCATGCGGCATTTGATCAGCAGTGAATACAGAAGAAAACAACATGCTTGCTAGCTCTGTGTCTCAGGAGAACACAGTATTGTGCAATGTGTGTGCGTGTACCAACTTCTCTGCTTAATCAGAGGAGCTTATTAGGGCTGATTATCAGATGTGCAGGAGCACACTTTATTTATTGCTTTTCTTCTGGTAACTTGTTGAGCAAGACAATTATTGGCAGAGTTGAGCTAATAATTTAGGTTGATCAGTGGCCAACATTTCCCAGACATCAATTTGGGCGGCTTTAGTATGTTATGCTGGATTGGGGATTTACATTCCTGGGTATGACAACACACTTCTGCGCCCCCACCCTCTTCTTAGGAACTCTGAGTCACTGCTGTAAGTATTTTGAAGTTCTTCTGAATTGCAAACATATGTATTTTTTTAAAAAAAACGGTCTTTGTTTCATCTTGGCATGCAGATTACATATCAAACTATCTGCCTTTTATTTATTTCCCCTGCCTGCTCAGCACACTGTAATGCGTGCCTTGAAAATGCCTTGGGATCATTTATCTAGGAATTTATTCTGCAGATGTTAATTCACTACATGAATGTGTTTAAATAAATAAAATCCCATATACCTTTTATAGGTACATGAGTTGGTGGAAGTTGGGAACACAGCTTACCTGCAAGTAATTTCTACAAGCAAAAGTAGAGGCAACTTTTCAACAAGATTTTTCTTCTGCTCATTTCAGCACATTCTTTCTGTACCTCTCTTAAAGAGTCGAAATTAGGAATTTGGAGCTGGACATATTGTTATGCACTTGGTTTTGTAAGGGCATGAGGGAGTTTGGATATTTGGGTGATGAAAAATTGGAGACTAAAACCTGGGGAAAGCGATAATAGACAGGTATAGCGTTGAGACAAAATGTGTGTTCCCCTCCCCCAAATTCCCTGTCTCATCTGTAAAGATTATTCATCAATTAAAAGAAGTCACATTTTCAAATCAATATTACAGAGTTTTATCTGTCATGGGCCTTAGAAGAATACTTAGAGGCTGCAAGCAGCCTAGACCAAACAAGCACCCACAAATCTTCACTGTTTACATATTTGCAAAACAAAGTAAGAAGGAATATTTTTAGATCGGCAGCCAAGATCTCTGCGTGGTTAGATAATCTCCTTTATTATTAATAAACTTTGGGTGTGTTTTTGTGGGAGATTACCTAATAGTTTAAATGTAAATAAACGAGCTACTGGGTTTACTGGAGCCCTGATAGTTCTCTACATCTTTGCCAATCTGTTTATATGATTTTTGCTGCAGTAGTAATCTAAGTATTAATTGAAGGTCCCCACTTCTGTGGGTCACCATAAAGAAGATCTATGGAAGCTAAACATTTTCCCAGGCAAATCTGATTTCAGGAATCTGGGTATCACAGTACCACGGCTTTCTCAAATGCAATTGCACAATCCCCATAATAAATGGCTGGATTAGTCAGAATGAGAAGATGTCGGTTTGAAACAATAATGGGATTACAAGTATAAATCAAGAAGTTTGAAGGATAGAAGCTTGAAACAGGGCTTTATGGATAAAGGGAAGGGAGCAAAACAGTCTCTCATTTGCAGCGATAGCCTCTTTGTAATGAGCTGCATCATTAAGTGCTACCTGAAATGGAAGCAAAGGATGCCTTTAATTTTGTTTATGTAAGGACAATCCCATTGGGCAGTCACACATCTGAAAAAGACATTTATTTCTTCTTGTCTCCCCACAGCTGGTTTAGGCTAGATTGGGCAGGGGTCAAGGAGTAGATGTTTTGATTTATAAGCAGATCTTCTAAGAATGCAATATTCCCAATTTGTAATGTGAAGCACTAAAATTGAGAGCTTTACTGTATTTCGACCTATGTCAATTGAATGCAAGACAGATACCTGCGTTTCATCATTCATTAGATTTACATCCTGCCTTTCATCAAAGTAGAATGGTACTTAATATCAGGACTTGCATGTCACTCCAACCCGAAAGTAGATTGTTTGATTTGGCTTGCCAAGGTTCATGAACCTCAGCCATTGTGGCCTTTAAATTATTGCTTATAGTTTGGGTAATGATGCTGAACCTGGGTTATTATGAATTACTCAGCACATCATATTTAAATAAACAGTGGGCCTAATCCAAGGAACGATTCTGACCCCAAAGTGTATTTAGGATGGGGTACAACATTATTACAGTGCTACTAAACCAGTGTAGCCTTCGATTTGCACTGTGTTTCATGTTAGCACTAACTGTCACAGCCAGATATGGACCAGTGACAAGATGCAAAGCTTCTTGAAGTACAGGGGGAAGACTAGCTATAGATGGACTGAGTGTCCACCACCACCATTACAGAAGCCTTTCCAGCAATCCAGAACAATGTTTGAACGTATAACTCCTGTGATGGTCGCTCTAGAATAGTCTGAGTAATTAGTGTAAGCAATTACTTTTTTTAACACAGAAATGAGTGCTATGTGGCTGTCCAGGTATTGTTGAACTGCAATTCAGTTTTGTATTTTCATTACCATTCCAACAACATTTGGTGGGTCAGCTTGGTTTATATATATGGATGGATGGATGGA